CACAAGGCCTTTTTTAGATCAGTTTGTTATTTGTATCTAGTTGTTCCTTAAAATAATTCTAAAATTCAGTTCCAAGTGTAGTATCAATGTAGTTTTTTGTGTGCTGCAAAGCTTTTCTTTGAGACTTTGACATGATGACATCAATTTTTCTTGTCGTTCGTTAAAAGTTTATTTCCATTTCCAAGTGTCGGCATTTATATTGTAGGTTTGCGATTAAAAAATCGGGTTAATGACTGGTAAGCAATTTAGTATACCAAGTCATATTGTTATTTTTTTAAAAAAATCAGAAGGTTCAATAGCATATGGACCATAAAAATAAGTTGAATGATTTAATGTATAAAAAATCAAAAGTTAATTATTTACCCAGGCAAACTATTATTCCAAAAAAATAATATTAGAATGTGAGGAGTGCCTTGGCAACGGGCTCGGCACTGCCGATGTGTAGCTAATGTGGAAGAAAAGCCATAAATTCAAATTTTTAAAATTATATCAGTATTGTTCTTAAAATTTTTATATTTTTAATCATTTTTCTATCATTATAAATAAGAACATCTGTTTAATACACTACTAGAAACATGTGTTTCCAGACAAATCTGTCGCAATTCCGTGGTAAAAGTCATTTGCAAGAGATCAACGACAAATATATTCTACAGCTACGAAAGCAGGGCTAATGACTATGTGAGGGTTTTAGCGACAAATCAACTTTTCCTTGTGACAAAGGTAGCGACTGAGTATCCATTGCAAAATGCTCATTCAATATAGTTAGTGTAACACCGAAAATTTTCAAAACAAATTTTTTTCAATTTTTTTATAAAACATAATTCCATTGATATTCATTAAACAACCATTTTAATTATCTGTCGAATCTCCTCATCGCTAGTTCCGGCATCCTCCGGCATGTGACGGGTCCTCACCATGATCAACCTCTGAAATACAACATGCGATAATTAGAATTTACTCGAACACTCTTACATTCGACAATCCACCCCTCCTTGATTCTTGGTATCCCAAGATTCTTATTTGGACTGTGTACCGCACCGGTGCTTTCAGTAGTACGGGCCCAATACTACTGTCCGCACCGTCTCAGTACACACCCCAAATCTTCCTCTTCGGATCCCAATCCCCAAGTACTCTATTATACTTAAATCACTCTGTAACAGGTCTCACACAAAGTCCTAGCTGCTACCTAATTACTCTCAGCATCTCATAGCAGCTCACCCTTCCCTAGGCTAAGGCATCACAAAACAGGCCACTCTAGTCCTATTAGCAATACCTAGCCTACTCTAGCATGCAAATACATCAGATTAATAATAATTATCACATAATATAGAGGTATTTTGGGAATTCACCGTTCGGGCGCTGGCTGATCGTACACACGTTCCTTCCTGGAAAATCTTTTACTCTTAGAAAACTTTGGTTTTATTTGAAATATCTCTTCAATTCCTCAGTTTGAGTTCAAATACCCCCGAAGGTGTACCCGAATCCCTCAAACCAAGGCTCTGATACCAATTTGTAACACCGAAAATTTTCAAAACAAATTTTTTTCAATTTTTTTATAAAACATAATTCCATTGATATTCATTAAACAACCATTTTAATTATCCAAATAAGACAATACAAAATCCCAAGATCATGATATCAAGCTCCGAATGTGTGTGTGTACGGATCAAGCCGGCGCCTTCCCGCGGTCGTCACTAGTACCTGAAACAATAACATCAACACTGTAAGCACAAGGCTTAGTGAGTTCCCCAAAATACTACATATAACACATATTAGCCACTCGAGGCTATAACTCTGTGGGTCCGTGCACCCAAACTCTGTGAACCCTCGGGTTCTAACTCTGTGAACCTTCCGGTTCTAACTCTGTAAACATGCGTAGCATCAAACTCATAGAAGTAATGCAGTACAACACATAACATACATAGCATACAAATACTCTATCACATAACTCTGGTTACCTACTCAAGGTAAAGTATAGTGAGAAGACTCACCTCGCGTGTCTCGGTAAATCGTAAACCTGAAATCGCTAATCACTCGACCTGTCGAGCTGTCGTCCCCCTATAGCACAATACACCTCTAATTAACACTTTCCCCACTGGGTTTGACCACACTATAACAAGTCAATCTAGGTCAACGCTGGTCAACGGTCAACGGTCAACTTTGACCGGACTCGGCGAGTACCCAGGCGACTCGGCGAGTCTGGGCATGTACACCAATTTCCCTGGAATCCTCCTTTGACACGTCGAGCATTCCCTCAACTCGACGAGTTCCACCTGGCACGAGTTGTGGGGCCACCACAACTCAACTCGCCGAGTCTCAAGAAGAACTCGGCGAGTCCAGCTAGACTCACTGAGTCCACCTTTCCCAACTCGGCGAGGCCACTCACAGAGTGGTCGGGCAACATTCATGCTACTCGCCGAGTCTGTTCTTCGGACTTGGCGAGTCCATGCCATGCACTGACTCAATCTTTCTCTAAAGGTCAGATCCAGTTCATTAATCCATAGATCCAGTCCCTCCAAGCTCATTTAGCACGTAAAGTTACAATCTTGATGCACATACAACCTTTATATGACCATATATGATGTTTATGACTCAAATACTACAACACAAGGCCAAAGACTCTATTGTCACTCATAAAGCTTAATGAGTGAGGCTCTCTGGACCTCTATGGATCTAGATCCATAGCCTCAACTCAAAGAGGGAACCAATGGGCATCAAATCATCCCATAAATGACCACCACAAGCCCTAAATTGCATCATGCTTCACTAAACAAAAAATGGTCCGAGACAATACCTCTAGAGTGATGATCTAAGCTCCAAATCCACGAAATAGCAACCTCTTTTGCTTCCTCTTGCCTAGGGTCTCCCTCTTCTTGCTAGATAACACACACAAGATCAAGAATGGCTCCTTTCTCTTCACAAATAGCTCAAGAACACAAGGGTTACTCACTGAGGGTTGGGTGAGCACAAATGACGGCCATAAGGCCCTTTAAATAGGCCTCAAACCCGGAGATTTAGGGTTTCATTACACAGCGCAGACTCGCCGAGTCCAGTCGCGCACCAATGTTCAATTCCGCGTCTCTACTCGGCGAGTCTGAGCTCCAACTCGCCGAGTCCCTCTCACAATATGACAAAATTAGATTTACAAAATACCTGGTAAAAATCCGGATGTTACAGTTAGTTCGGACATTAGCGACAAATTTTATAACAATTTTTCGTGGTTTTTCTGTTGCAAATCTCCATATTTGTTTTTCTTATATATGTTGATCCCTAACAAATATATAACATCAGAATATTTTATTTTTTATTTTTTCTATTATGAATCTAAAATAAAAGATACCAAATCAAATTTTTATATACATATTTAAATTACAACACGGTTAGGAACAATGATGTCTCTCTCCTTCGATTTTGACCACAGATGTTTACTTTATTAGCAGTTTTGGTCCTTAAGTGTTGTGGTTCCCTTTAACAGATGTTTACTTTATTAGCATTTTTGGTCCTTAAGTGTTGTGGTTCCCTTTTACAGATGTTTACTTTATTAGCAGTTTTGGTCCTTAAGTGTTGTGGTTCCCTTATATAAATGGTCTATGAATTTTGTTGTGGTTCCCTTATATAAATGGTCTATGAATTTTGTTGACCTTAGCACTTTTGGTCCTTATATGCATTTTACTATTTGCATCTTTATTATTTAGTTTGCTATCATCCATTTTTGTCATAAATTTATATAGATGTTTAAATTACAACACGGTTAGGAATAATGATGTCTCTCTCCTTCAATTTTGACCACAAATGTTTACTTTATTAGTGATTTTGGTCCTTAAGTATTATGGTTTCCTTATATAAATGGTCTATGAATTTTGTTGACCTTAGCACTTTTGGTCCTTACACTACAAGAAAACAAGCCTTTAATGACGCGCAAACAATGACACTCGCTAATAGACGATGCCCATTTGTAAGTGCCCTAAAAGATAATGTAAGTTTTGCAAAATTTGAAGGATAGAGGGCACGCATTTATGCGCGCCCTAAAATTAGTGTCAGAAAAGAAAAAAAAAAAAGAAATGCGGAGGGCGCCTTTCATAAAATGTGCGTCATGTAAATGTGTCACTTTATAATTTTTAAGTGAAACACGCGTTTTAGGCGGGAAATGAAATCGACGAAAATTACCCCCGCCTATTGAATCCCAAAAAGTTAATCCCCCGCCTCTTCTACTTAGCAAGAAAAAGCCCTAGATCCCTCATCTTCATCTTCAGTGTCATCAAACATCTCTCTCTCTCTCTTGGAATCAGATTCTTGAATGATCAAAACCCTAATTGTAGCCCTAACTACGACATGTCTTACCAACCGTTATCTTCAAATCGCATCATAAATGACGACCACCACGACAACAGTCGGCTATACAACCTTTACCAAGATCTTAGAGTCCCTGTACAAACTTCCCACATCTCATGAATACCTCTATCAAGAGGAATCCATCGCTCAATGACGTTCATGGGGCGAACACCTGATATACTACACTGGCATCGGTTACCTCAGCAGCGTAGTAGTTGGCGCCGGGAAGGGTTTAGTAGAGGGCGTGAAGGCTTCTGAGGCTAGAGACACAATGAAACTTAGGGTTAATCGGAATGAAATTCATGGTGGATGGATTAGCGACTAGAGCATATTGGCTGGATTAGCGACCAGAGCGCTTTACAAGGTGGCGGTGGGCCCTAGGTCGGCGGCTGTTGCCGGAGCTATTTTGAAGAGATACGTACCAATCCGAGCTCGATCTGTATTCAATTTCATCTTACTACAAGTTTTGGTCTTTTGAGATTTCCAAGTGTGGTGGCTGTGAATACTCCATCGTCAAATAGTTTGCATAAACACGACGTAATAGAAGAAGGGAGGAAGTGCTAGAATTTCCTAAAAATGAAACAAATTTGGGTGTTGTGGAGGAGCCACCGGTGGTGGCAAGTGAAGTTGAAGCATCTAAGGATAATAGTGAACTGAAAGTTGAGACAATGATGAAGAAGGCCAACGGTTGGACTTTAAATGTTAAAATTAAAGTGGAAAAGGATCCAACTCTCAGTGCAACAGCGGGATTGAAGACAAACATAAGTTCTTATTTGAATGCTGAGATCGTTCCTGGTGTATATTCTGATGAAAAACCACCATTTGTGGTGGAACTTGATGGATATCTTCCTTTCTACATGCTCGATGCATATGAGGAGTTTTTTGGTTCTAATGCTGGCAATATCATTCTATTTTGGAAGGTATTTAGCTAATTCAGTTACATCTTAGTTGACCCTGTACATATGTATTATAACGCTTGAGTAATTATATAAGCCTCACTATTTTATCATTCTTACCAAGATAAAGATTGATCTTGATCTTTAATAACTTTCATTTCAATCAAGGTCAAAGTAGGAAGTACTTATCACAGCTGTTGTGTGGTGGTGAAGAATATGCAAAGATTCATGTATGCTATCCCAAATGGCTCTGTATTTGAAGACTCTGTTATTATGAAGCTTTTCACACCAAGCTTCATGTAATACACCTCTTGCCTTTGCTCCCCTTTTCTTCTTTAAATTTACGAACATCATATTGCTTATATTATTATTTACTATCTATTTATGCTTTTTATTTTATTTAATCAGGAGACGGCATTTAAAAATGATTTGGTGAATAATTAGAATCAAATATTCATTTCTTGGATATTTATAAGTTATAACCCCCAAACAGCTAAACCTATACAATAAAACTTTATTTGAAATAATCCGATAATCATTTCCAAATCCCACATCTCGAGTTTATAAAAACTTTATTTGACGTAATCTGATATTTATAAGTTATAACCCCTAAACAACTAAACTTGTAGAAACTAATTCTTTTCTTTCTTTGTTTGATTGCATGACTTGCAGATAAGATTCATGGTAAAATGGGAGAAGGTGAGTACAATTTATGAAAAAATTACATCTAATTGTTTGTAATATATCATTATATATATATATATATATATATATATATATATATATATATATATATATATATTGACTAATCTGATTGATTCTTGTATCATTCAGGTACACAAAACATACTTCTCGTGTCTCCGGAGTATGTGAAAGTGCCTAATTACAAGGTATGATTACAAGTCATGTCAAACACTTTCTTAGGTGTTTTATTTAATAGGATGGACACAATTCCCACTTTTAAAACTCCCAATCTCGGCACCAACACACAACCATAACCATTGTAGTTCTGCCTTGCCTCAATCCTAGCCTCTAGCATCTTTATAAATTTAAAAAATTACAATCCAATTTGTGATGGTATGGAAGATTACAAAAATAGAGAACAAATCTGGAAAACTGAAGACTTTACATCTGTATCAGAAAGATTAGAGAGAACCATTAATTCCCAACTTTTTACATATTTGCCCCCATTGATTGTTTGGTTTGAATGATGTACATAAGAGAGAAGAAGAGAGATTGTTATGAACTAGATTCTAAGACCAGATTCAATAACATAAAACATCAAAATATTCTAATATGGATTGAGAAACCGCTATAATACCAAATGATTACAAGGTTGAAGATAGGATAGTTGATTCGAGATAGCCAATCTCCCGAGGAATAAATTCCAGATTTCACAAAAAGATTGATTGATCACTCCCTGCCCACTACCCTCTACTTATACTATATGACATAACAAACTAAATAATATAAAATACCTAAACTGTCCCTGATGTCCTTTTATTTGTTGAATTTCCCATATTGCCCTTATCTATCATATATTGCAAAAGTTGATGCATAACAATACCCCAGCCAAGTTCTTCGATGACCTAGGTAACACTTGTCCGTTCCATCGGGTCCTTCAATTGCCTCACTGACACCTGTCAAAAGCCAAGCATCTGTACTTGTCTTTCTTTGCCATGGCTCTGTTCCTCTATCATGATACAGTGTACAGCAAGCTATTGCTTTCTTGGAGCTTTGAAATGCAGCCAAGCTATTGATACTCATGGTGCATGTTGAGTGGTCTGTAAGCATCAACAACAACATATTTTTCACATTTACTTGAAGAACATGCAAAACCTACCACAACCAACGAGAAATTTCAATTTTGGTCCTTGTGTTCAGCAAAAACTTTCGGTTTTGGTCCAAATCTGAATTTTTTGGTCTTTATTTTCATGTTTCATAAGGAATTTGGTCCTAATTTTGTTAAATCTAACCACTCAGCTAATAATTTATACAAAACCTGAAGAAAACAATATGCCACAGGAACCAGAATCGTAATTTTCAATTTATTTTATCAATAAACTAATTTTTGAAATCACAGCATATTTTATTTTTGACTGTCTTAAAAAGCATAGTTCTTGAGTCATGAAAGTACCATCAAGAATTTGAGCACCACGAGAGGTCTACATAGCAATATTGCATAGACACAGGTTGGACTAATGAGATAGAAATTGCAATTTTTTGGCACTCCCAACCAAAAAGGTAGAACCAGTTGGGAAATTTTCTCTCTCTGTGCAAATGACATGAATGCCCTTCTCATTATCTTATAGAAAATAGACCTAAAGAGCTTGTCCAGTCCCATCCCTTGTAACAAATGCAGACTAGGTGTTTGTTGTGTTTCTCTCTGTGTGGGTGTGTGTTCTTGTAACAAGGATGTTTGTATGTAAGAAAGCCTTTTTTTCTACTTTGTGGTAATTTGTGTTACTTGTGTGTGCATTATTAGGTCAATGAAATACACACTTATATAATATAGCTTTACCAGATTAAGGGGTTATTTCTATTTCTTTTGATTGACCGAGCTTAATCTAGACACATGGCTGTTCTTTATTTGACTTAATCTATACAACATGACGTAACAGATTAAACCAAAAAACTTGGTTTAATCTATTCTGATACACACTCTTTACCTATTTGTTTTTCTACTTTTTTCCTCATGTTAAAACCTTGTTTAATCTATTCTGATACACACTCTTTACGTATTTGTTTTTCTACTTTTTTCATCACGTTAAAATTGATGAATATTTTTTGTTAGATTGCAAGGGTAAAATGGTGATTGAAATGTTGTATAACATATCTCATTATATGAGTGGTGATTCTTAATCTTGGTTGCAGATGGCGTTCATAGTTGCATTCTGTCAGGTGGTTAGTAGGAAGATGAATACAGGCTGCAATATTGTTTTCGATTGAAATTTCAAAGTAGGATCTCTCAGTCTCAGTCTCAGTCTTTGATGAGAGCCACGCCATGGAGATGGACGGAGAAAGATATAGAGGTATGTGTGTACATAATTTCTTCCCATCTCTCATTTCCTTTGTTAAAAGATTTTGTTTATTTCTCTCATATTTTTGGAACCCGTTGAATTAACTAATGCCTCTTTAGTAGTAGCAGTAGTAATAGTAGTAGGGGTATAGTTGTCATTGTTGTTGGCCAAACCAAACCAAATTAAAGTCTAAGCCTGAGGTGGGGTGGGGGAATTATGTAAATGCTGCTAGTCGTATTAGTGTGTAAATGCATGCAGATCAATGTTGTGTTACATTACATGATATCTTTGTTGTTGTAACCTGCTTACAATTGGCTTTCTTCCACATGATGAAATAGTAACAGTTAGGAGAGGGTTTTTATTTTTATTTTTGAAAATTTGATCATCAACAAGAACAAGGCTGTCTTGTAAGTGTTATTTCATCAAATTGCAGAAAATAGCAACGTACTTGAAATATGGAGCTTGAAACTTAAAAAAGCTTACAAGTTTTGATTGGTGGATTGATTCTGTCACACCCCAAAACCAAGAATGGCGGAAACATTCTGGGGCGGAGGACGTCATGTAGAGTATCACAACATAGTAATTGTAAATAAGCAAACAACATCATCCATTGCATTAAATATAAAATTTTAATACAAGCGTGTTCCGTACAGTTTTAGACACCAAAAATATAATGTATATCAAAATAGTATGATGAGTCTTGAATGCGCTCCATCTTCTCAAAAGCTAGCATCGGTACCTGTCTATAGATGACCTGAGAATACAAGTTATTTTGAAAGAGTTTATCAGCATTAAGCTGGTGAATTCATAAGTATTTTAGTGTCGAGGTTCGTTATCAAAACGTTTTGAACCTGTCGCAAGTGTGAGTTGTAAATGTATGTAAGTGTTTGTAAACGTTTGAATCTCTCAGAAAAACCTATATTTTCTGTTTAAAGTAGCCCTCTACCAAGGCTTAACTGTTTGTATGCTCGTTTGATGTAAAAGTGTGTAATTTCCCAAGTGTAACTATCATTTAACAAAATATAGTTTGTACATTTAAGTTTAAGTGAGGTTATCACCAAAATGTAATGGGTAAATTATTGTAGTACGGTAGTTTCGTTTTATATGAACTACTGTGGTACTAACTACCTTAAACCGGGTTTATATTAAGGTATCGTGTGATAAATTGCACCATACTATCGACTAGTAACATCGACAACATATAGTCGAAAAATAAGTTATGACGTTTGGCACCCGTAGACCTGTCGGTCCCACTGTAGCTAACAGCAAGGTGTAGGATAGTCAATCCAGTATAGATCTATACGCAAACTCAACGCTCTCCCTCCAAGAGACTCTGGCTACAACTCGGGTCATGACAATTAAGACATGCTCCCATACAGTGGATCACAATTGTTAACGTATTCGTGTATATGTAATATAATATTACTGGTTCTAGTATCGTTGTATATGTTCTATTAGTAATGAGTATTGACTCATGAATGAACTGACTCGTTGATCTAGAAATCGTAGTAGTATGATTCCGTGTTACCCCGATGGTAACTTACTAATGATGTGTTGATAAGCATGAATATGGAAGTACCTTTATGTCTATACACGTATATACGACATATAACTAATATTGAAACGACCCTCGGATAGTCACCCGAAATTCCACCAGACCACATCCAAATCGAGGAAAAGGAAATAGGACAGGTGGCTTTCCTAAGCCCTTTAAACATTTATTATACGGCTATACATATATGGGCATGCAAATTTATAGGTAGTAAAACAAGGTTTACAATAAAGCATTTGGTAAGTAAAAGAGTTTGTAAAACCTTTTGAAGTAAAACAGCTTGAACAGTGATAAAATCATTGGTTTCCTAGTTATTAATCACATGTGATTAACGCCATCACATGTGATCGAAACAATAACTATAAGTGTTTAACTTGTATCCCCCCCTAAAGTATTTAAAACATTTAAAAGCATTTCAAAGGTTGGATAAAGGGGTATGAACTCACTTGGAAATTCGAAGATAGCGAGATCGAAAACCGGGTAGAGCTTCGTCTCGTGAAACGGATTTTTCTCGGGATTCTCGGGAATCTCGGGAGTAAAATCGACCCTCGGGACTTGAGCAAAAAGACCAGAGCTTCGGGTTTGAACGGGCACGGAAATCGAGGCAAGATCGGGAGAGAAAGAGAGGAAATGAACCACTTTTTCGGAAAGGCTCGCATCCCTTTTATAGGGGTGCTGAACCGCCTCAGATCGCGGGGCGTACGGGCGTACGCAGCGCGTACCCGTACGTCATCGCTTACGTACTTCGGACGGAGCGGGTCGGATGGGACAGCGGGTCGGATAGCTTCGCATAGGGCGACGTGGACGTTCCGAGGCCGTGCCCTTCGAGTATGCGGGGCGTACGAGCGTACGCGGTGCGTACCTCGGCCCTAGGCTGACTCCTCTTCGGATAATACCGAATTTTTAATAAAATTTATATATAAATTATTTATCAAACTTCAAAAATTCATATCTCCTTCATACGAACTCCGTTTTTGACGTTCTTTATATCCCCGCGAAGGTGAGACTACGATCTACAACTTTCGTTTAGATTCCGTTGGCAAATTCCGAAATTATTTTTATTATTTATTTATTAAAATGACGTGATTAAGGAATTTCTTTAAAAATTCATAACTTCTTTATCTGACGTTGGTTTTTGGCAGACTTTTTACCGTTGAAATACCATTGTCGAGACCTTCGATTCTCGTTTAGGTCATTCTGGCCAAATGTCGCTCGATGTCCGTTTCGAGTTTTTAGCCGTTTGTGGCTAAGCTGGACTTGAAATATCATAACTTCAATATACGAAGTCGGATTTGGGCGTTCTTTTTACAT